TGAAGCATTCTGTCCTGAGCTTTAGGATAAGTGTCAAAGTCAACACTCATCAACTCCTCACATGAGTTATGGGTGCTAAGCTTCCAGGTTCTATAATACTGAGTTCTAATTACCTAGAAAATAATAAAGCTTTCCAAGGAAGGTGACATTTCTTGGTAAATCCCAGGAAGAGAAATGTCTGCACAGTACTTCCTCAGGTGGGAATGACCTCCTACTCAATCAGCCTGGTGGCTCTGGCCGGGCACCATGAAGCACATGCCCAGGATATAGCCCTTCCCAGGATCCACCCCAAACTGAAGCAGTTGGATTCTTCATCCTCGCTCTTAAAAACAAGCAAACGAAAGTCAGTTTTGCTTCTTTAATGCTGTGCCTTCTGCTCTCCCTCTGCCTTCAAGGTGAGCCTCCCAGGCTTCCTCTGACAAGCGCATGAGTCCCAGCTCAGCAGACACTGTATCTTGGAAAAAGCTCCAGAAACTCCACAGTGCCTTTACTTTAGCAGTGTTGAGGGAACCCGAAGGCTTTCATTCTTTAAGAATGAAACCACGGCTCTTGGACTTGAAAAGAATGATGAGAGCTGGTTAGGCTTCAAGTAAATTAAGTAGAAATATGAAGTAAAATCAAGAAAAGAGAAGGTCAATTAAAATTACAGCACAACATATGATATCTTCAGAGTATTCTCCAACCTTAGAATTCATACAGTTATCTGAGGAGCTTACTCACAGTGATATTCTCTGGCTCCACTGCCAGAGATTCCGTATCAAGTGTGGGGTGGGACTTGGAACGGGCATTTTTTAATAAGCTTTCTGGGTAATTCTGTTCCAAATACTCCATAAGTCCCAACAGGAAAACGGTCTTGCAATGTTCAAGGAGAAAGGCTAGTCAACTGGACAGGTTCATCACAGAGCCACGGGAGCACCGGACTAAGAGAGGAGCAAGCGGGCAACGTGCCGCAAACAAGCATCCCGAGCCCACAGCTTGTGTGGGCACTTCACATACAGATAGATGACCGATCTGAGAATCCTACCTCAGCAAGCATGTGGCACTACAGAACTGCTTTCAAGGCATGTGTTCCTTGGTCTGAGACAGGGGCTTTCCACTCCGTATGGGATAGAGAAAGCCCAGGCAGCACACAAAAATAAGGTTGTGTTCATCCCACAATTTAAATGGTGAGAGGGAAGCTCTGATACAGAGGGAAGACTTTGGAATCAAAAGTCCATTCCCAACTCTGCTTATTTAGTCACTTTGTTTCTCTAGCTTTGGAACTCTAATTGGAGGCTGCAACCTACCTCAAGGGACAGTTGTCAAGAGTGAATGACCACAATATATCTTAATAAAGCCTTCTGTAAACTGTAATGCATCAAACAGACAAAGATCAGTATAAAGAAACTGGAGGTTACTTTCTTAAACACTGATTGCAAGCTTTTTGTAAGCATCTCACTGAGAAGTTGACAAGAATGGCAGATTAAGTGTCACAAAACCCAGCAGCATGCCAAAAAGAGGTGGGACACAGCTGACTGGTAGAATCAGGAGAACTCACAGAACATTCTGGAAGAATGCAGGAAAACATCCCTTTCTCCACTGGTGGCAGAGATTGAGGAAGATAGGAGAGAAGGCTCAGCATTCCAGGGTACAGTTTTATTTTATACAAACTGTCACTCGTAGACTGTAGAGGGTATTCATTGCACTTGGGCTAAAGTCACAGTGAGAGTCCAGCAACTTCTTTCTCAACTACTGCCCATGTTGGTGACCAGGGACTTCTGCTCAGAACATGGTGATCTTCCATTGAGAACTGTGACGAGGATTTGGGTGGCTTCTTCTAAGAGGGTTGGGCCAGGAAAGGGACAGTGGCTCATTTGAGTATCTACGAATCTGGGGATCAGCTTAGCTACTTTTGGACAAAGGAAGAATATCTGCCCTACGAACTCCTGTGTTTTTGAAGGGGGGTCATAGTGAGGGATAGAAAGTGGCATTTTCCACCGCAGTTCACTTTGGAAAAAGCCAGTCTTGTTTCAGCTCAATGAGGAGACAAAGGACAGACTCAAACAGAGCGTGAGGAGAAAAAAGCCCAGAGCAGTCTGATGTGGCAGCAGTGTGGCCAGCCTGGCTAAGAGATGGAGAAGGAGCCAGTTCAAGCCTGGGAGACAGGTGGGAAAACTGGAAAGGAAAGAGGTCAGCTAGAATTGCTGATTGCCACACCCTACCTCCCACCCTGAGCTTGTCATTTTTGTCAGAAGCTTTACTACGCTCATGTAGGTGCGCTCTTTAGAAGGAAAAAAGTGGGAAGGTTATTTGCTATGCTTAGTTAAGAACAAGCTTTTCAACAAAGAGACCACAATTATTTCTTTAATAACCTACCAATCAAGATGTCACACTAACTGATGGGTGAGTCCTTTTATATCATAATAGAAAACTGTCTCGTCACCTTCTGGTTCTTTTTTTTAAGATTTTATTTATTTATTTTGACAGAGACAGAGATAGCGAGAGCAGGAACACAAGCAGGGGGAGTGGGAGAGGGAGAAGCAGGCTTCCTGCCAAGCAGGGAGCCTGATGCGGGGCTCGATCCCAGGACCCCGGGATCATGACCTGAGCCGAAGGCAGATGCCTAATGACTGAGCCACCCAGGCGCCCCAATAAATAAAATCTTAAAAAAAAAAAAAAAAGTTAGCTATTGATGACCTGGGGTGAGCCGGGAGGCGATCTTACTATGTACACAAAATAATGAAAGAGTTTTATTCAAAGAAAAGGGGAACTAGGAGAAAAGAACTATGATCCCTGAACAGCAGAAACACTGAATCCTAATTATGTGAGAAAGGAGCAAGTCAACTAATTAATAGGGTGTATGGGAAAAGAGGACCCAAGAGGCGGCAGAAAGACAACACAATTAATTGCACCACATTCTTAAGAAAATAATATGTCAATGATAGTGGAAACTGGGTAAGTTTGGTTGCAGAGAAACAATTTTGAATATGCAAATGTAACAAGTGTACAACTTACTGCAGAGCTCAAATATGACACTATATATGAACCATCTGAAATGGTTAAATCTATGCATCTGTCAGGTAGTATGGTTACTGAGGACAATGGCCAGAGTCCATGTACCTGTCTGTAATCCATACAGTTAATAGCTTTTAAACCAAGCAGTCTTAATGATCACCCAGGAAATCCTGGCAAATGTTGCTAACAGTAATATGGCAAACAGAACTGCTTGATGTGAATTATAAGCATTTTAGATTTACCTGTTACCCCCTTTGCCAGGAGGCTAACAAGGAGAAAAGGAGGAGAGTGATCACTTAGGCAAAAAAGAGGAGGAAAACTCAGAGGCCATAAATAATCTATCAGCCAGAGGAATAGCACCTGGACAATTAATATCTGATTGTTTAGGCAAAGCGATTACACACCCTGTAGTTGACAATACCCTGTCTTCATGTACCTAACATCTAATTACTGAAAGTACATAATTACCTATTTAAGAATATGGATGAGTTACTATCAGAAAAAAAATTTAGGTCACTTGAGACTATCAGGAAGTTAATGAGTTGCTGGTTAAAACAATGGAACTGTTGGGGGAGTTGGGAATATTAATTCAGTCCAGAGCAGTCCTCTTTATAGGACCAGGAGAAACAAACTTGTTTCCAAGAAATGAGATCACTTTTTAAAAAGTATGTGATTAAACGAACAAAGAAAAAAAGGGACAAACTAAAAAACAGAGTCTTAACTATAGAGAACAGATGGTTATCAGAGAAGGGATGGGTGAAAGAGGTGAAGGGGATTAAGAATATACTTATCACAATGAGCACTGAGTAATGTATAGAATTGTTGAATCACTATATTGTATACTTGAAACTAATATAATACTGTATATTAACTATACTACACTGGAATTAAAGTAAAATTTTTAAAAAGTAAGTGATTGTTTTGACATTCTTCTTACATGTAAAGGTTAGATATCTTCGAGATGTGAGAGGTTAAAAAAAAGCCTTTGGATCAGCAAATTTCATACGAATGTAACAAAAATAATAAATGAGCTTAATCAGCTTTGGTTAAAAACTCATTAGCCACGTGCATTTTTCTGTATGTATATTATATGCCAATAAAAAGTTAAAAAGAAAAACCTCACTAGTTGAAATACAAATGAAACTGTCAAAATAAATCCTGAAAAACAAAATGTTTTGACAGGGGTTTTGAAAGAATAGAACACAAAGAAAACACCAGAATAATGCTAATGGATAAGCACATTTCATGAGTCCCAAAGATTCCAATACTGCTGGTGACTGGGACCAAAAAACTGAAAAATGAATCCTCCTGGTGGCTACAGGTACTCTATTTCAAGGTGACATTAACAAGAAATAAATAAAACTTTTAAAAAGCAAAAAACATACAGGAAAACAATCCCCTTCTCCGATACTAGAAAATGAAAGCTTAGCTGTGGATTCATACTGACAGTAATGCTGACTTTCTCCCAGCAACACCGGGCCTGCCTGGGTACCTATCGCCCCAGGCCCCCTGCAGAGTACTTCCCTTCCAGAACCACTAGACTCAGCACATTTGGGAATTCCATTAATCCTGGTGGGTGGGGTGGAAACAAGTTTGTTTCTCCTCGTCCTATAAAGAGGACTGCTCTGGACTGAATTAATATTCCCAACTCCGCCAACAGTTCCACTGTAAGGATGCAGATGTCCAGTTTCGTATGCTGAATACAAACAAGATACCCCCAAAATATAAGTAAACTGCAGACCACATCCATATTATCCGAATCTCTATGGGAACTAAGATTGCAGGACTTTATCATTTAACCAGTCTTCTCTTTAACAACACTGCAAATTTGGAGTTATGTTTCGCAACAGTAACCCAGTTCCTACAGCGAATATGCATTTTATTTGGGCTATACTGATGTGACACAGAGTTCCATCTGTAGCCATAACACACACGAAACAGAAAAGTTGACTAGCATTGACTAGCATTGCTGGCATTACTTAATTTTAGTCTATGTAAACACTTACCTCTTTGACGCTATGTGTTACTGCCCATATCAGAAAAACTCTTGACATCACCTGGAAAGAAGTCAGGACAACAGAAGATGGAACAATTCCTGAAAGAAATTTTAGGATGGGTAAATAAATGTATATTGTACTAAGTTTCAACATGTAATACATTTTCTGAACCATTCAATTTTACTGTTTAGACATGAAACCATCTTGGGCAACTGAAACTTTATATAAACTGTTTTTCAATACAGTCAATATTAAAAACTTTTTTCCTTCAGGGATGCCTGGGTGGCTCAATCGGTTAAGTGTCTGCCTTCGGCTCAGGTTATGATCTGAGGGTCCTGGGATCGAGCCCTGCATCAGGCTCCCTGCTCATCGGGAAGCCTGCTTCTCCCTCTGCCTGCAGCTCCCCCTGCTTGTGCACTCTCTCTCTCTCTCCTGACAAATAAATAAAATCTTAAAAAAAAATAAAACAAAAAAACCCCCCAAAACTCCAAATTTTTCCCTCCAAAACTCTAATATTGCTTCCCCCCAAAACAATAATATTGTTAATGCCAACAGTATATCATGGAATCTAGGTACCCTTTTTTTTTTTTTTTTTAAGATTTTATTTATTTGAGAGAGAGTGCACAAGCAGGCGGAGGGGCAGAGGGAGAGGGAGAAGCAGGCTCCCCACTGAGCAGGGAACCTGACGTGGGGCTTGATCCCAGGACTCTGAGATCATGACCTGAGCCGAAGGCAGACGCTTAACCGACTGAACCTCCCAGGTGCCCCTCTAGGTACCTTTCTTAAAGCCTTTCAAAATCACTGGCCAAGTGCAATATATTTTACATTTATCATATAGAGAAAACAAAACCATCGCTTAACCACTAAAATTAGACACTGAAAGGTCATTTTATACTATGGGTTTCAAAAATGAATAGGCACCTATAAAAGGGAAATCAACTGTATTTGTATCTAATGAACATTAGCAACTCCTGCATATCATATGTACTATCTATACTGTATATTGATGTATTATCTAATGGTTAAATTATCTTTTAAAATTCACTTGAATATTTTACCAATAAGCATACAAAAATCAAAGTTTATTATCTTTATAAATCATTCTCACCTTGTTCATTACAATAAACATTGGTATAATTATCCTTCCAATGTCCTGAAGTTATAACAGTGGAATCATTAGTTATTTTAGATAACCATTAAGTTCTGCTAAGTTTAAATTTCTTTGGCCTCTCCTTTGAATTCCTACACTCACAACCCCTATGGAGAAACCAGCCACCACCATTACAAAAAACTCTTGCCTCCATTAGGTCATCTTAAACCCAGCAATAAGCCATTATCTGTAAGTCTCATTTTCTCATTGTAACTTTATACTGGTAAGGAACTGCTACTAAAATAAAATCTGGAAGCAGAATTATGGGTACCCAATCCAGCAGCTCCTCCATCCTCACCTCTTTGTCATTTCTCACTGGTCTTACTACTAGCAGCAACTACACTTACCAACTTCCTGGACATTTCAGGTTGCATGTGGGCCATTCCATACCTGCCAGGAGCCCTCATCATGGCTGCACATCTTCCTTCCACTCTAAAACTAACCTCTTCTTCAATACATCCACTGGACTATCCTAGACCAATTTTCATCCTTCCAAGCCTTCTAAAACACACTCAGACTTCTGAACATTTATAAAACAGAGAAACAACTTGCCAAAAGACTGTGTACAAATCAGAGATAGTATTGTCTCTATGGGTGTGGCTATGAAAGGAAATCACTTCATATCTCATTAAGAAAAAGAGATGCAAGATCCTGTTAGAATGTGTTTCTTGAAGATGATTTGGGCTTCGAAGAGGGACAGTTTAGTTCCCAAAAGCAAGTAACATGGACGTGTCAAGCAATGCTTGCCATATAAAGACACTCAATAAATCTTTGTAGAATGAATGAAAGAAAAATAAATGCATGGACATGTAGCCCAATGGAATACAGTTGAGAGTCTAGAAATAAATCCTTACATTTATAGTTACTTGACTTTTTTTTTTTTTTAAAGATTTTATTTATTTATTTGACAGAGAGAGACACAGTGACAGAGGGAACACAAGCAGGGGGAGTGGGAGAGGGAGAAGCAGGC